CCCCCCCCGCCGCTCACATGTGAAAGCAAGAAAAGCAAGTGGAAAGGTGTACTGTGAAGGCTGCTGGAGGGATCACTGCGAAAGGAGTCGGCAGTGCTCGTTGGCATGGGCAGCCTGCCAGCACTGCAGCCACCCGCACGCTGGCCTTGCGTAAACACAGGTAGTAAAGAAAGTGGCGGGCGAAGGTGCTGCGGTGAGAGCTGTTACCGGGGGTTTGCAAGGCGGAAACGCAGCAGCTCCTCTCCACGCCTGCAACGCCCGAGTGCAGCTGTGACCTTGGCCTGACCTTCAGCTTGCGCTCCCGGCATGACCACAGCGCCGAGCTGGCGTCAGTCTCCTTCCTATATTTGGCAGGTACCGGCAAACCCCACTTTCTCCTGGCCACCCTGCCCTCCCCAGGTGTGCGGTGGCTGCGGATGCCGTGCCGTTTTTCCTTGCGCGTCCCCCCCCCCCCCCCCCGCCACTCCCTGTGACACCCCACAGGGACCCCCCCGGGGGTCGGGGATGAGGGCACACGGGACGGGGGAGTGCAGTGGGGTGTCCCCCCCTGGGTCGAGCCACGGGCTCCAGCAGGATGCTCTGAGCAGGGAGCAGGAGGGAGTTTCATCCTGGGGGCGTTTTCCTCCATCTTCCGGTTTGCCCCATGTCCCCTGACACTGGGGACAGCTCTGGCTTGGCTGAAGCTTTGTATTTTTAAACTCTAGAAAAAAGCCCTGCAAAGAACAAAAATCCAAATACTGGGGGTCAGCAGACCACAGGTGGGAGGATGCCGCTCTCAAGCACTAAATTTAAGTAGGTGCTGAGAGCTGGCGTGGCTCCTTCCTCCCCAGCCGACAGGACCATCGTCCCCATCGGTGGCCCGATGTCCCCAGCAGTGCCTGGAGCTATCAGGCCCTGCAGGGAGAGGGATTTTGGGGGAGCCAGGCCAGATCCTGCTGCCATCAGCCCTCTGAGCTGGAGATCACCCGTGTCACACCCCAGGACGGCTGGTTTTGCATGCTGGGTGTTGGGACCAGGGATGCCGCAGTGATGGCACGGTGGCGGCTGTGTCCTGGGGGTCTGGGAGTGCAGCTTTACCGGGCATTGTGTCCCCGGGTGATTTGGGGGGGGGTGCTCAACTTTGTGCTGGGGTTTCTCCTGTGTGCACAGGATCCTTTGGGGAGCAGTGGGGTGAAGTCTCTGGGGTGGGAGCTGATGCTGGTTGGGCTGGGGGCTGAGCTGGAGCAACATCCCGAGCATCCTGTCCCATCCTGAGCATCCCGAGCATCCCGAGCATCCTGAGCATCCCAAGCATCCCAAGCCCAGCTGGCAACGGGGGGTACCCAGCCCCATGATGCTGCCGTGGCATCTCTCTTGCTGAGAAGGAGCCCGTGGGCGCCGGGTGAACACGTGGCGTGTTGAGTGTGCAGTTTTGGTTACCGAGAAATCCCTTTCTCGGTACCAGCCGCCATCGAGCAGGGCATCTTGTGGTCAGGTGCCGTGGTTCGGGGGGGCGGGGGCACCATGCCTGCGGTAGGCACTTCTCCGAAGCCAGACTGGTTTTTTGGGCGCCGTATCTCTCTGCTGCATCATTTCCTTCTCCCTTCGCGCTCCCCGTCTGTGCTGTCCCCGGGGAGGGACGCAGGGGGCTTCGCCGAACTCCCTTTTCCTGGAATTTCCCGTTTCCTAGGAAAGTGGGAGGCTGACCCCAACGCTGCGGTCAGGATGTGTGCCGATAACGCCTGCCACGCTGGCAAGCTCGGGGACGTGCTGGGCGTCACAACCCACGTGCGGGAAAGCAGCCAGGATGGGCAACCCCTTTGCTTTGTCCCTGCAGGACTTTGCACAGGACGCAGTTATCTTGCAAGGACGGCAAAAAAATAAACCTCCTTCAGGATAAAGCA